TAAAAATGCACTAACTGACTGTAGGAGACTGATTTCCTGAATGTAGTAATTTTCAAATTTTAGTGAACATCACCAGAATCACCTGGAATGTTTGCAAAACATGCAGATTCCCAAGCCCTATTCCAGAGAATCTCATTCAAACTGTTCTGGGATAGGGTCCAAGAATCTGTACTTATAACAGGCACCCCAGAAATTCTGAGGCAGGTGGTCCTTGAATCACACACGGGACAGTGCCTTGATTAGTGTGTGTTTTGTGAAGTTTGCCTGGGAGCAGGTGTTGTAGATGCTAACCTTGACCTGACCATTCTTTCTCTGCTTTACCACTCAGTTACATGCTACCCGACTACTAATTGCTGGTGCCTAAACTTATTTGCCAGTAGGACTTCACCTGGCCTCTGCAGGCTGCTTTGCCACCCATGTGGTAGGTTGGAATTCCTGGAGAATTAACATCACTGGGGAACAGTTCATAACCAAGAGCTCATAGATATCTGTGTATAGATACTTCACCTCCCTCACCCTCAGTTGGAGCAACTCTGTGGTGAGTTTTCTATACTGGCTTCCATAGTTCCCCATTGGGATTTTATTTCGGGTGCCCACAGTGGAACCTAGTTTGATAACACATTCTTTATTGGCTCACTTCCTCTCCTGTTTCTTGTGGTTTCCTTTGCCTCTGAAGTTGTCTTGAATCTTTGTCTCAGGTCATGCTTCTGGGGAAACCCAAAATGAAGCTGGTACAGATGCACACACAATCTACTACCTCACCATCTAGAGGAATTTCTCCCATGACTCCTGTGTGCAGATAGGAACTGATTGCAGGAGTGAGGAGCACATTGCTCTTATGAACCTCATTGGCTCTGTATTACTGTTAGTCTAACATGTCTAATCTTGTTTCCAGCAGCCAGTGTCTTAATAAACTGAGCAAAGCCCACATGATATACTTACTGAAACTTGCAGATGGTCTAGCAAGGAAAATATCGTCTTAGTTTCCAAAAGAACAAATCCCATCTCCACTGTTTCCTGTCAGTTTTGCTCCATGTGGAAACTTCCTGCTGGGCCAATATGCCTCCTGGGTGAGTGTCCTGCAAAGATTCCAAGCTTTAATGGTTATCCAAAAGCAGGAATTGTGGCATAAATCTCCATGTGTAGAATACATATCACAGCTTGAGTTAAATGGACCCCAAACATATGGCATTGTTTTTTTGCATTTTCTAACACATAGGCAGTTTCTCACATTTTAAATCAACCGAAAATGAGAAGATTACAGGCAAATCTTCTTGGAGGATTAACTACCAGGAGATATATTTGGTTTGCATAAATATTTGGACTGAGATGGATGATGAGGTCAGACACTTTGCAAAGACGTATTTCACGCTGTAGAAAGTGTGAGCCCAAGGAGAGGACAGGTGACTCTGGAATCACCTACTTTCCCAGATTGAACTGCCTGGGCTTTAGTCACTTTCCCCTGACTTGGACTGCAGGAAAGGGCAAGCAGAGTTATGGTGTCTGGGCTTGATAAATAGGGCTTATGCAGCTGATATCCTTTTCATGTGAATGTTACTGACAGGGACCCACCACTCCTGGAAACAATCTCTCTTCTTATGTCCCAGTGTTGCTATCAGTCTTATAACCTGTGTATGAGCCTATGTTGCTTGCTTAGGAACTACTAGGTAAAGTCATTGAAAACACTCAAGATTATGTTGAAAAGCCCTATTCCTTGTTAACTAGATTTCATGTGGGATTTGATTGATGGCTACATTCTGAGTTATCAAGAGTTAAGGATGATACAAAGCTAAGCATCAAAATTATACTTTCTCTAAGAGAGATCAAGCCTTCTTATCTTGATGAAGATAAGAAGGGCGGCAACAGAAAAGGCAGGGATGTGCCTGTAGGACACCAGTTCTCTGCAGGTAAGATCAATAGGAAAGGAGGAAAGCAGCTCCTTAAGCATTTCTGTCTTTAGCAAATCACTCAGCCTTGTCAGGGCTCCAAAGCCACAATGGGCTGTGTTGTCCTCATTATGAAAATGGGCCCACCACAATTATGCTATGAGCATGTATGAATGTCACAATGAATCCTACGATTATGTATAATTATAATGCACTAATAAAAACATAATTTTAAACAGTAAAAAAAAAAAAAAGAAAATTAAATGGGGAAACCAGAGCGGTCTGCTGGGCCCACAGCTTACCCAAGAAGATGCTGAAGATCATTGTATGGTAAATGGCTCTGTGTACTCAGTACTTTTAGGCTTGCTCCACCTGCCCCCTCTTTTATGTCTCTTTCCTCCCTAAACGTAATAACATAACATAATAAAGGATTTATTAATATCCCTGTTTCCTAGGATAACTCTGCTCAGACAGAGATCAACAGTATGGAGTTTGGGGTGGGGTGGGATAGGATGCCTGGGCTGGAAACCAGGCTGCTGAGTTTACTTCCTTACTTCTGAGGGAGGAGGAAGCTCTTCCAATTCCTAATAAAGCCCCCCCCCCAAGCTTCCTAGTAAACACACAATGAACAGATCCACTGAGCCCCATTTCTGCATCGATTAGAGATTCTTTCCTCTTTTCACCTTCCTTGTCCCAGCACTGTACTGTATATCCCCAAAGAATTGAGATGCCTTATACAGGAAGGTTTGGGGGCCAGAGAGCATATATCTCTCTAAGTCTGCCCTCTTCCCTCCAGGTGGTTGTGGCCATAAAAGATGACTCTACACACAGGTAATTTCTCCTATGGAGGTAGGAAAGGGAACCAACCAAGGGAGAAGTTTCCCTGGGCTGGAAACCTGTAGATTTTTCTAAGTGACACAAGGTGAGGGTAGCTTTAGGAAACCAGGAAAGACACAACTATCTTCTCAACCAAAACTTCACACGCTAATCCTGGTCTTGGAAAAAGCAACAGCTCCAGAGAGAAAGTTGTCTATGGGATTCTGAAACTGATTTCTGCCTCTAGTGCTCTCTAGCCGCGTCCATAAGCTTAGCTTTCCTTCTTCATCTGTAGAGTAGGATTAATAATTTTGATCATCTCACAGAGTTGATGTGAAAATTAAAGAAGTGTGAACAGGATATAACTACATACAGGAATTAATGAATGTTACTGTCGTGGTATTTATGAAGTTCACTATGCTTAGGAATTCCCAATGGGGAAAGAGGACCGTCCTGCTCCGAGTCTGTTCTCCCGTCTGTCTCCACTCTCCCTTATCTCCCAGCTGTGCCACTTTCTCCCATCGCTGCCCCCTTTTGCAGGCTCCCGGCCTCCGGCTGGAGCTGCAGTTGCGCACGGACGCCTCTAGATGGAACTTTCTCACCAACACAAGGCTTGGCTGGCCGCAGGTCCTCGGGCGCCGGGCAGCTAAGGGGCTCTCTCACTCTTTCGCGCGTGCGGGTGCGGGTGGGGGTGGCTGAGCCATAACTAGAGGGGAGGGGAGCTGGACTGTGCACAGGAATCACGGCGGGCTCCCATCGGCTTGGCGCAGGGAATCCCGAGGTTTCCCTGCACCGCGCGGAGTCTTCAGGAGTTTTCCTGCCGCGTCTGCRGCTCTTAGAATCTCAATAAAATGACAGTCGCCTGTACCGCCTGTGCCCCTTCTTGAACAGTGCCCATAGTGAGACCATACGTGTCCAACCTCGAGCTTCAGGGGCTCAGTAGAATCTGTCCCGGTTCACTCGGGGACGGGGTGTGGGGGAGATGGTGGCGGGAGACACCGGGCGGGCGGGATAAATGGCGGAAAGGTAACGCGGTGGGGGGCAAACTTTGCGGGGGCGGGAAACCGCCTAGCTTGCGGGGATCTACTTTGAGCTTCCCCACAAAGAAAGTGTGTGGCGGGACACTTGTCATCTGTGATGTATTCTTCAAAGTGACCCTGCTCGGAGCCCTGCTAGGAGGGCGGACCTTTGCACTGCTGGACCGACTGCGGTGCTCCGCGTCGGCGTCCTGCCGCTCCTTCCCGTGGGGGCCCCGGGCTCGCCAGGCAGTTGGAGGCGCTCCGCTCCTCCACAGCCACGTTCCTCCTACCGGCTCCCGCTCCCCTCTCCCCGCAATCTTTGGGCCCTCCCCCTTTTYTGATGGGGGCGGGGCAAGTAGGGGTGATTTTGTGAAAATCAGAACTATTGATATTTCTGGTCCCCGCGTCGCTTCTGGCTGAGGCGCAGAGGGGGTCCTGATGCACGAGTATCTTTGCCTCTGTCCGCGCCGGGGCTTCACGGTGACATCGAAATCCAGGGCTCCCGCCCTTCGGGGTTCCTCCTCCGGCTTCCCGAGGTGACTAGTTGGCGCGAAGCGATTGGCGATCCCGGGCGCGATCCCGGCCGCGGCTCCCCGCACCGCGCCGGGTGAATGGCCGCGGGCGGAGGATCGGGAGGCGCCGGGCGCAGACCAATCGCGGCCGCCGGTGGGAGTATTTGTTATTCACATGGAAGAGACTTGGAGGCGGCTCGGCCAGCTCAGCCCCCTCAGCCCCGAGATCAGCCACAAGTGCGGCCGCGGTGCTCGCCTCGCGCGGCGGCGGCGGCGACGGCGGCGCTGACATGGAGCTGCGGGCCCCCCGCGGGCTTCCTCACCGCGCCCTCTGCGGGGAGCAGGGTAAGACTCCAAGCCGAGCAGCAGACAGAGGAAAAGAGGAAAGCAAGTGCAGAACCACAGGAAGAAAAAGCCCTCAGCCCCCCAACTCCCTCAAACGCGGAGCTTGCTGAAAAAGGAGCCCCCCTCCCATTTTGTTACCCTTTACAATTTTCTCCCTAAAACCGTTCAGCTGACAGCCAGGTGCACCGTTCCTTCTCAGATCACTTTAGTGATTTGCTCATCCTGGGCACAAATAGATGGCCTTGCATACCCGGAGTCTGGGAGAGATCTGGTGGGCGAAGAAACGAGAATGGGGAGAGAGGGAGAGTGGGCACCAGGGGGCGAGGGGCTGGCCGGGCATTGGAGCTTGATTGGGTGTCTGTTGATTTTACGTTGCAAATAACAAGGCAGCCACCCCTCTTGTCTTCCCATGATTACATTCCAGTGGAGAGGTTCAGAATAGAGGGAGGCTTAGCTTGGAACTCTTAGGGCTTGAAGATGTGATCCCCCAAAAGTTTAGTCGGCGAATGGGAGATTGAAGGGTGACGGGAAAGGGGCAGGCGCGCCTGGGATGCTCTGATGGGGCGTTCGGCGGCAGGATTTTAAATCGCTCTGCTTCAGATTGTCTGCCCTGGGTGACCTCCTGGACCTGCCCTGGCGGAATCCGGACTTGCCCCGCCGAGATGACGAGGTACCTTCATTTTGCCAATATAAAGCGAGGGATTTCCGAAGTTGGCGGCTGCTGGGACGAGTTGGGGTAACCCCCCCCCACCCGCCCGCCTTCCTGAGCTTGGGCTAGATGGATGTCCAGGATCTAGGGAAGATGGGGGTCGCTGGGGATGCTGGGCGGTGGGGGTCCTCGAGACCCGCATCCCCGTGTGGCGCACGCTCTGCCTTGAGTTTGCATTCTCTGAGTTACCACGCGAGGTTGGGATTTCCGTGTTTCCCCCGGTTCCCCGCCCCGTTTTATGGCTCTCGGGAAACACTGGAGTTCCGTGCCCCCTGTTGGGGGTGGGGGAAGAGGAAAGGTCTCTGGGATCTTGAGTTTCACAAGCAAACGCGCCCCGACAGCTCCTCGGCAGATCTACCGCCAGAGCAGCCCGAGTTTCGCAGGGACAAGCGCGGGGTGTGGGCGCTAGGGGCGGCCAGGTGTGGCGGGGGCGGGGGCGGAGGCGCTCCTGGCCGGGTTGCTATCAGAGGCAGGGTCCCCCGGCGCTCTGGGGGACAAGGACTGCCCCGGAGATGCATCAGGAAAGCAAGAAACACCAGGTACTTCCCCCTCGGCCTTAGATTCTACCCAAACTGGGCTTCTATGGACCAAGGAACTGAGAAGAAAAAGGAAGATGCAGCGGGGAAGAGGGGACCCAGGGCGGGGTGAGTGGCTGCTGTCTGAGACGGAGATAGAGAAGAGATAGACCTCTCAGCTTTGCAGCTGAGCAAGTCCATTTGTTCTATCAAACAGCTCAGAGATCCTTTGAGGTTCATACAGTTAGTGAAAAATATAATAGAAAGAGACACACACACACACACACACGCACAAATCAACAAAGTCCCCCCTCCTCCGCACCCCCCCTCCCTGGTCTGGCTCGCTCCTTGGTGCAAATGAAATAAAGAGGGGCGTGCGTGCGAGTCACCCAATTGCGCAAGACAGCACCCCTGCGTTCCCCTGAAGAATTGCTTCCCCAGTGGCCCAAATCGGGCAACCCGGGGTCAGAGGGTGGCTGCACACCCAGACTAATGTGATGAAAATAGATCCACTCACAGATTCCAAAAGCCCCAAACCCTCAGTTCCTCAAGGAAGTCCCACCCCGGGAGGGAATGTCTTGTTTGCCAATTGGGGGTGATCCTTTCCCACAGACCTGATGGTGTGGGAGTCTGGTGAATGTCCATTAATACATTAGGGTCTGGGCTACTACCACGATTGAATACAAATCCTGCCCATTGACACAACTGGAAGATATGGTTTGTGGTGGTATTTTCAAGAAAATTACAAGCAGGAGAAAAGCATTCTGATGATAGCTTGTATTTTGCTTGAAAGAAAAACAAAAAGAGAAAAAGAGACACCAGCAGGTAGATCGTGGATAAACAGCTTATTATACTTGACTATAATTTCCATTTTCCATTATAAAATTGTTTGTCAATAATTGCAAATGGCTACAGAAACCACTTTAGTTTACCTTGGTCACTTGCTTGTGAATAATATCTTGGAATATTTCTGTAGGAAACAGAATCACTGTGAAATTCATTCTCTGGTTCTTGAAAATATATGGGTTGATAATTTTGAAAAGAAAAGCTTTATTCATCAGGGAAATGATTTCTAATGCAATTTTCCTATTTCAGAGTCAACTACAGGTTGTACCATTTGTAAGATAAAGACAGAATTTTTACCTTTAAATATGGGATGTGGAAACAATTCGATGAGGGGAGGCTCTCTAGGAGATGTTTGCCCAGAATAAAGAAAAAAAATGCTGAAAACACAACTCAATACTGATATGTAGGCTCAATTTGTTTTATTTGGTTTGTGCTAGCTAGTTCTGCCCTATTATGCCCCCGTTAGCAAGTTATGGCTGCCTGAATAATTCTAAAAGCATCCAAGTCCAAAAGGAGTAGAAAAAAGAAAGAGCTAAGCTCCAATGAGTGCAGAAGAAAGTTAGAAGTCTGGAGAGATGTGCTCTTTTCAAACTTGGCTGGGCAGGTTGAAGCTGCTTTGGGGCTTATTTAATTGGTATTTATGCAGCAAATAACCCAGCTGACATTCACATTGGTAGCATCATGTGCCAATCTTTGTGTAAGAACGTTCCATTGTCTTCAGGGCATGATGCACAGAATGCTGTACACACACTCTTATGACAGTGATGATGTTTTTCCTTCCAAGTTTCTTTCCTGCTGCCTGCTGCCTGTAGTTAGAATGCCCAACATGAGGAGAACTTTGCTTAAGTCTGGGAGTAGCATTGCTCTGTCTCACKGTCTTAAAAGAAGATGCTGCATGGATGGAACCCACACACAGCCCAAAGCTGGCTGCCATGCTTGTTGAACAAGCTGGGTGGCAAAGGTTCCGAAAACTGCTGCCGTTTTCTTGATAGTACCTGATTGGGTATCACCAGATTCACACAAGTAATTTGCCCAGTAGGAATGGTTACTCCATGTTGTTCCAGGACAGGTTGTGAGCAGACAGSCAGCTGGACAATATTGTTTCCATCTCCAGAGAGGATTTCTCTCTGCTTGAAATTTAGATTTGGGCTTTATTTTTCTCTTTTTTTCCCTTTCTTTTAAATTTTTTCTCAAAGATGTTTTATTTTAGTTTCTTCTTGGTGATTTGACAAGTTATGACAAACCCACCCAATGACTTGAGCATAGTGTTATCTCATTCCAGGACCCACCTTATGAGTGGTGGGTACTGCTGTTGGAGTGATTTGAGGAGCATTGTTGAGAGAAGGTGCCTGACTCATTGCTCCCTTGCTCTGGTGTTGCTACATTGCCAGTCTTAACTACTGTTAATGGTGATCTATTGTTGGTAAAGGAATTATGGCTTTCCTAGGAATCATCTTAAAACTGCAGATGTTCCAATCGGGAGGAACAGGAATGCATCTTCAAGTTTTGATAACTGCTGATGAATTCACTCTCTGGGGAGTACACAGGTAATGAGAGAGCAAGGTCTGGAGGTCATGAACCATGGGACATGCCAGCACTGTGGGAGGGAAGAGATTCAGCTCTGAGAAAGGCAGAGCAGGTGGAAGATGTAGGAGAAGCCCCAGAGGAGTGTGTGGAGGTTGTTGAATAGGGTTGGCTAATTTCTTACTTTTCCTGGCAGGATTAGGCCTAAAGATAGAAATGGTTTATTGGCTGGCTCTTCTAGTGTAATAAACCCCAGTGGTAGAAGCATTACATTCTTCTTACACTTTAGAAAGGTTTCCTATTGTCCTGTTTTTGCTACAAAGGCTACCTGATCACTAATTCCTTAAGAATAGTCCTTTGGATGCTCATAAGTGCCCATGACCTTCATTTCCCCAGATCAGATATTGTACTTCCATGCACCTTCCTTATATGTCCTTTCCTCTAGTTTTCCTTTGAGGTCTCTGCTCTCAGTATGGGCTCTCCAAGATTAATTCTTGACACATGACTGTCATTAATGTCTGACTGGCTATGCATGTGATGGGAAAGTGGTCTTCTCAGATCTTTCAAGTAATAATACACCAGAAAATACTTTATTTCTAGGGCTGATGGCTAAACTAATAGCATCCCTGTACATTCTTATAACACTTTTATAAAGTACTTTTACACATAGTATGTCATTTGATTTCTCAGCCTGAAAGATGGTCGGAAATTATTCCCCATTTTAAAACAAAGAAACCAGGATAAGTGACTTGCCCAATGCAACACAGTTGTGGGGAGTGAGACTAGAATAAGGATCTTCTAGGACCCCGAATATCCCACTTACACCCCAAATGATCAAAGTAGGGTTAGCTCCATAACCATTAGGGTCTCCTGCACCTAGCAGGCATGGAGAGAGGCAAAGGTGAATACTGCATTTGAATTCAGCCCTGAGAATTTAGAAACAGACATATAGTCTGTTTCCAGGTCCTCATATTCAGACACCAACCTCAGGTAGACTTTAGAAAGGAAATGAGATGATGTGTAAGTCTTCGGGCATACCATAGGCATTCAGTAAGTATTAGTTTCAACTCCTTTCTCTCTTCTTACCTGTTGTATACTATAAAAGTGGCTTCTCATTTCTTTAAATATGGTCTTTTTATGCAATAGTTGTTATTGGAAAAATAAGGGTGCAGATTAAATTCTACTACATCAGAATGCATTTCAAATRCATGGGATTTAGCTATTTAAAGAAAACCTGTGGTGAATTCTTTTGTAATGCAAATAATCACCTTCTCATTTATGTGTTTAGGAAGTTGAGCTTCTTGCAGCTCAGATTTTCTTAATATGTGGACTGCTTGTCTAGAGGAGCTTTCACAGCCCTCTTTCACTGATGGGAAAAAAGTCATTCAGCTTGCAAATAAAATCAGTGATTGTATTCACTTGGAAAAGCCTTGCTCTGATGTTTGAGCAYAATCTCATTGTCCCTTATCATTAAATAAGAGAATCTCAGAGTGGGAAGCTGGAAGACACCTTAGAAACTGTATGGTTTATCTCACTTATTTCACAGATGAGGAAATGGAAGCACCACAGAAATGAAGTGACATGTTCGGTGTCACCAGCCAGTGACTGCCAGACAAGGATTCAATTCCAGGCCTTGGTTGCCAGGGGAGAACTCTGTCTGCCCTATCCTACTCTGTCCCCACCAAGGATCCACACAGTAGCAGCCTGGGAGATGGTACAGAAATGTAATGCATTTTTCAACAACCAGAAAGAGCTGCAAGTGTGGGCAGTTTCACGTGAAACTTCTGGTTTAGCAATTTGATGAGTTGGTGACAACATTTAGCTTAACCTTTTTGTTAAAGAGCTGAATGGCATGCAGTGTAGGAATAATGCTTTGGCCTTTTTATAAGAAAAAAATTATGATTCTTGGCTAATGACATTTCTCAGCAAGGATTTTACCATGTCATACCTTAATTTGCTCTTGGAGGAATACACAAAGGCTGACCCTGATAGACCCTGTGTGTGGCTGTGGTCCTGTTCCCCTTGGCACCAACCTGGCCAGGAAGCCAGATTTGAAGTACAGGTATTTGGATAAACAGAACTGGTYATTTCCAACACTTTGAGAGATTAAAAAACCACTCTCTTGGAATGTCCCCAGATTCTCCCACATTGTTGTTCTTAAAGAGCTGATCACTGAAGATATATACAGTATTGAAATATTTCAGCAGAAGGGCAGGACTCTCACTTTCTCATACTGCCATGGCCAGTTTCTGCAGAACTGGGGGATTTCTCAAAGAATAGTACCCACCTTGGGGGCCTAAGGATTTTGAGGGTGCTATAACTTGCAAGTTCTAGACTTGGGGCTATAATAAACCTTTTGGAGCCTTCTTTTCTCATTTATATAAGAATTAATGATCAATGTTTGGAAATTCATTGAGATTCTATTTTAGGTCAGTATCTCAGACTTTGGAAAAGAAGATACAGAGAAAATAAAAAGAAGCAGAATTCAGGACTTTGGCTCACTTGAGCTCTCTTTACTGGTCTTTCAAGAAACAGCTGGAACAACATTAGGGAGCCACAGGCTCAAGTTCCTTATGGGGTGTCTTCCCCCAAGGAGACCAGGCCCACAGGAACATCAGTGGAAGGGCTGGTGATATATAATGTATGGTGTACTTGGAGTGGATTGAAATGGGGTGAACGGGAAGGACTAGGAGGGATCATGGGTAAGCTTGCCTGCAGGGTTGCAGAGCCCCTCCCTGGGGGCCCAGGAGTAGTGCTGAGTATCCCTTCCTCTCCGAGGTCATTTTCAGAAGGACAGTCTTCAAACCCCCTTGATAAAGTCCATCAGCATAGGCCAGTTCCTTCCAGCCCCAGAAAAAGGTCAGTTACTTAAAATCAAACATGGAACATGAAGCAGAGCTATTTGGATCTATAGTGCAGAAAGGTCATTATTTCTTTAAAATTCATTGATTYCAACTGGGATGAGTTTGGATTAAAGCTCACAAGAGTGCTATAAGAGCAAGATTGGGCAATGTAAGATCGTACAGTRAAACCTCGGTTACAAGGTTTTTCATGAACTTTCATATATATATTTTTCCTTAGAATTTAAAAGGGAAACTAAAACTTCTAGCTATCAAGCCGTCTGTGATTTTCATGGCAATGTATCAGACTCTGCAATAACTGCAGTATTCAAACATTTTGTAAGTAGCTATGATTTTATTTTTAAAATGACAAGCAAAATTCAGCAAAAACCTTACCAACTGGACAAAACCACAAAAAGTTGCTCAGTTTTAGTAGAAAATGAATTAGAAACCAGATTAGCAACGGTAAAGCTGCAGTTAACTGAGCATGTCCCCTGTCCAGGTACTGTTTACCATGTGCTCCTTTATGGGCAAGAAAATCAAGTGCTAGAGAGCTTGCGTGCAATTAATTCTATGTTGCAGAGGAGGAAACTCAAGCAGAAACTGAAGTGASCTGTCCAATAAACTTATAACCCAAACAGAACCTCTCGTTTTTCATTTCAATGCATTCACTCACTAAACCAAAAGATTCTTGCTTCATTGCTCTCCATTCCCCGACCTTTTCCTTAAATTAAACTTCCAAACAGACCTAGGAGATGCTAAAGAGACTAAACATTATTACAAACACCAATACATTTTAAAGAAATTCATATTTATTACTTTCAGGACTGCATCGTAGGTAAGGATGCTTTGTGATTAGAAGATAGATTGTTTATATGTTCATCTATAATTGAAAACCACTTATTCTCTTAAGTGTTTGAGTATGTGGGAGGTGAGGTGGCATAAGGAAGGAAAGCTGATCTTTGGAGAACAGATTCTATCTGTTCCCCTTCACCTTATTTGTTTATTCTTGATTCTATCAGAAAAGAATGTATGGGACACCATTCCAGCCATGGGGACTTGGTTTCATTTTCTAAATTAGTGGTCAGAGTTACTGAGGTTTTACCATCATAAAACTGATCTTCCCCGTGAAACTGTAAAACACAGTCTTACTTCTCTTGATGGGTTGTATATGGTCCATACCTTAAATGGACTCATCCAGAAAGCTGAGAAGACTTTCCAAGTGTTTCCTTTGGTGGAATACTTGAGGCCAGGTTCTTGTGGAATCAGATTTTTAGAGGGAGAATGGCTGCTAGGAGAACTGAGTGGTGAGAAAAAACAGAAGAGGACTAAGTTTTGGGGGGCAGTGTAGAGACATCCAAGGCTTACCATGAGCCAGGAGACAGCAATACTTGTGGCAGGCAGCATAGAACTATCTTAGCAGAGTGTGCCCTGGTTGGCCAGGCTCCAGGTAGACACTCAGAAATACAGCTCAACAGGCCTACTAAGAACCCCTTTCAAATCTGAAAATGAAAAAAAAAATGCCTTTCTCTGAAGGAATTTGGGCATCTGTTCAGTTGTCCCCTAGGGAGGCACCATCCTTCCTTTTGGGACAAGGAGGATGGAAAGAAAATTTTATGAACTGGAACCTGAACAAGTGAATGGAAAATACAACCAGATGTTGGTTAGCTAGGGTAGAGGGAAATGGGCCAAATTTCAGGTTTCAAACTCATATATAAAATAGGTTAGAAATGAGAATTAGATTAACCATCCTGCCAAAATAAATTGGTCCTGTTTATTCCCTTAATTATCTGTACGTTTCAAATCTCCCATTCCCTATGTTAAGTCAGTTCTCATTTTTCAGTTAAACCTCTTCAAAAGACTTTTGAAAGAATTTCCTGGAATTCTTTAAGGACAAAGGCCCTAGAATAAACTTTTTCTATAGATTTGCCTGTAGACTTTTTCACTCTAGGTTATTTCTAGTCTTGATGAAATAACTGTTTCCCCTACTGAGTCAGACAAAATTAAGAAGGTTTTCAATTGATCTCCAGCTCTGAAGTGCTCCTCGTGATTCTAGGATCAAGGCGTATTTACTTCAGAACTGTAAGCATGCCCTGACAAATTAATTGGGAACTCTGACAATGGTAATAGGAAGATCTTCACATATAACCCTCCCTTTGTGTTTAATTTTCGAGTCTTTGTTTTGTTATGAGAAAATGATAAGATGGCTTACAGGGAAAAGCTGGTATTCTATGTTAAAATTTTTACAAGCTATAAAACTTACATATTTTGAGATCTTTGTAGGTTCTTTCTTTTTTGTGATTGAATAATCACTTTTACCCACTGGGAAATCTGGGACACTAAAAAAAAAATGTCATTAACAGATGACTGGCTTGTTGAATATACCACCTTTCATTATGATTTTGTGGACAAAATTTAAATGCTGACTTCAAATAGCTGTAAAAAGTAAAAATAAAATTGCAAAGAAATAATGCCATTCATCACAGGGTATTTAGCTGCRTGGAAATAGGATTTATTAAAATAAAATGATAAATAAAAATACTTTCTGTCTTGAGAGAATCAACCTAGTTTCTGATACTTTTCAGTTTCTCTTGTTCTAAAAGTGTCATCAATCTCCCTGTTTAGATGCAGTGTGGCCAGGTGTTCAGAATCACAGGGGGACAAAAAGAATTAGTTTTTTACTGAATAGGGGAAATTWAAAAAAAAAAGAGGTTGGTTTAGACAGGACTTAAATATACGAAAATCAGCTCCACTAAAACCTTTCTTCCCTCCCCCTACCCTCAGGAATAATTCTGCTACAGGACTGACTTCAAGGACGTGAATCGTTGACCTCATGCCAACATCAGAACCTCAGATGTTATTCTAATTTTCGCATCATTCCAGGCAAGTTGACTTTATATGGGGTAAAACTGAACCTTAAGGGTCTGATGGAATTTCACTGTGACGTTCACATCAAGACAACTTGCTGAAACCCACAGAGCCTTTCCCCCATGGGACCTGATGGTAGCCTCCAGAAGGTGCAGCCTCAGGTGGTCCCCCGTCTTCTGTGGCAAGAATAAACTTTGGGTCTTGGATTGCAACACCACTTGTGGAGAAAATGGTATGCGAGGGAAAGCGATCAGCCTCTTGCCCTTGTTTCTTCCTCTTGACCGCCAAGTTCTACTGGATCCTCACAATGATGCAAAGAACTCACAGCCAGGAGTATGCCCATTCCATACGAGTGGATGGGGACATCATTTTGGGGGGTCTCTTCCCTGTACATGCAAAGGGAGAGAGAGGGGTGCCTTGTGGGGAGTTGAAGAAGGAAAAGGGGATCCACAGACTTGAGGCCATGCTTTATGCAATCGACCAGATTAACAAGGACCCTGATCTCCTCTCCAATATTACTCTGGGCGTCCGGATCCTTGATACGTGCTCCAGGGACACCTATGCTTTGGAGCAGTCACTAACCTTCGTGCAGGCATTAATAGAAAAAGACGCTTCTGACGTGAAGTGCGCTAATGGAGATCCACCCATTTTCACCAAGCCCGACAAGATTTCTGGAGTCATAGGTGCTGCCGCAAGCTCCGTGTCCATCATGGTTGCTAACATTTTAAGACTTTTTAAGGTAGGTAAAGGCATTGTCTTTCTGATCCTTGTGAAAGGACAGTAAATGGTTGACTCCAAGCGGAGGTTAAAGAAGAAAGTGAAGATGAGGATGCCTATAGGTAGACCCTTTCTGTGTCACCAGGTTCCTCAAAAGGGGGATTCTGTGTCTGGGTTTCTACATGTGTTTTAATTCTACTATTTACAATCAATTCGATCAATCGTAACTGTTTTCCCCAAATAAAGAGAAAAATGGTAAGTCTGTGACATATTGGGTCCTTTACCATCTTGGAATGATATCCTCAGTAAGGCTCATTTTTAATTAAAGCAAGCATTTTTAGAGAATAATGAATACTTAGCACATTGATCATACAGCATGTTTCATCGGTGTTTGAGGTATGTATGAGATAATTTACTTGGTGAGACTTCTCTAAGGTGAGATGCTCTGTTGTGACAAAAGTTCCTGTATGAAGAAACAGTATTTATTACTAAAGCGTAGATGGGAGTGACACTCTGGGAGATAAGATGGCCATAAAACTGTCAGGCTTATTATAACTACAATAGAGCAGAACCTCATTAATTCAAACTGCTCCAATGCAGACTTGGAATAATTACATATAATTCTTATTGAGTTAATAGTTCAAATTTAACAGGATAAATCAAGACACTTTGATTTAAGTTTGATGATCTATTACTTATACACTGAATTTATATGTTGAATAAAATTGGCAATATGAAATACTATATGTAAAAACAGTTTGAAAAGTACAAAGTGCTATAAAAATAGTTATTGTAACTCACCATTTTCATTAACTTTCTCATCTTATTTATTAATATCCATTTTGTAGTCTTTTGTAACAGGCATATTTTTTTTAAATTGAAAATACTTTTCACTCTGATTTCTTACTCGGTGGGACTTGATTTTTTCCAACTTAACCTGAATTAATGAGGCTTCATTTTTTTATTGTGAGAAACGATTCCCATGAATATTAAATTTAAAGTTGGACAGATGACAGACATAGTGACAAAAATGAACAAAGTGATAGAAAACTTTACAAAAAAAAAAAAAGATGAAAGAGATTGAATCAAAGGCTTTCTGGTTTGGAAGATATCTTGGGGGCCCCATTTAGTTTGGTCCACATCTCAGGCTGGATCCTCTCCAACATCCCCTGAGAGGCTGCGCAGCCGCTATATGAATTCCTTTAGTTTAGAGGAAAGAATGCTAAGAGGCAGCTTTCATCAATTTCAGTTTGATGAAATTTCCTCAAATGAGGAGGCTATTCAGTAGAAGCTCTCTGTGTCTGAGGCATACTGGAGAGGCACAAACAGGCCCCAGAGAGCACACAGACATTTGAGCAAGACATTAGGCTCAGTCTCCTGGTAGTGAGGACATTAGGCTCAGTCTCTTGGTAGTGAGAGGACACAGGATCAAATAGACAGCCAAAAGTGCCCTCATCCTCTGTCTTCTGAAACCCTCAAAGGAAGCTCAGCATTTGCCAATAATCTCTCTTGGGCTGATGGACTCCTTTCCTGGAGGCAAGGTGCCCAGCCAGGATTCTCCAGGGTTCTCCCACCTCCTGGAGTCTCAGATCCTTCCCAGAGGTTCCAATTCTGTGCTGGGTGGCCTTTTCTGCTGTGGGGTCTTGTCTAGCTCAGCCATTTCCCCAACTGTTCTCCCCATGCTGATTTGACCTTCCTCTTTGCCTGCTCCAAAGCATTCCTTTTCAGTTCTTAACTCAGTGACTATGACTCAGAAATACTTAGAGGAAAACTCTAATAACGATCTCCTCCTTTCTCTGACCTTCTTCTTATATGTTAATGTTCATTGCCATCAAATCCCACAGTAATACCTATGAATCTGTCCCCTACCTGTAGTGTCCAGCCAAAAGAAGGCAAGGATTTGAGGAGTGGGGTGGAAGAGATAATGAGCTTATCTGAGGTTTTCAAAGCTTGTTTACATTAATTTTTACCACAGTGTCGGCTTGTCTGTAAGATGGTGATAATAATACTGTAATAATAGTAATACCATGTTAGGTTGTTAGGTACATTTGATTAAGAGAAAATGCAGTTAAACCTTTGGTTCCTTGGGCTGCTGAAGGAAACTTCAGGCCATCTGAAGGTGAGAGGGGAGTTTTGTTTTGCATAGGCTGGACCTGGCTTCCTTCTGCTCTGTTCTTTCCTGACTCACTGGCTGATTCTGTTACTGTTTTGAATAATTCTGGAGGGACTCCATCTGACCAGGGGATAGGATTACTATTGATCCTCTCAGGGCTTCTAGGCCAGCTCCTGAGCTACTGCTCAGCACTCCAGGAGGCTGCTCTGGCTACTCTTGACTGACCATAGGGAGTGGGTTATATTTGGCCAGGAGGGGGCGCTGGTAATGGTAGAAGTCATAACTAACACCATCAGTACACTGGTGGGAGCACACATTGAACCCTCAGGAAATAAATCTGTTTATTAACCAAGCTACTGAATTCAAAAAATTGATCTCATTCAAAAGTGAGTCAGTGAGAGGGTGTAGGTGCTCAGCCAGTCTTTCAGTTGAACCTGAAACCAAATGAATGCGAATTAGATAATTCCAATTTATTGTGTGCCTCATTAATTCACTTTGATGATTGATATACGACCTCCAGCTAGCACTCCACAGTGATTTTAATTATGAAATAATGATAGTTACTCTTGGGATAAAAAATGGTCCACTTTACAATATGGATAACTTCTGTTTATACCCCCACATGCTAGGACTGACATGAAATATTAGTATAGTTATCAAAGAAATGATTAACAAAGCATTAGAGATTGGGATTCATTCCATTTTGAAAAATAATCATCTTTTTAAGCCAAATGCTATGTATGACTTGAATGAAAGGAAATTTTAGGAAAGTTTATGACCCCTGCAGGACAGCAGCACAAGACTTACAGAATCTAAAAAGATGCACAGAAATCCATGTGCTGCCACTATTCCTGTCTTTTAGTCTGAGAACATACAAACAATTAACCTGGAACAGGGGAGATAAAAGAGCTCTCAACTTGTGAATTTACTTTCCTGCTCAGCAATAAACATGAACTAGATTTTAAGAACATGGCTGGAACCTGTTTAAAATTTTATAGAAAATATTTGGGCCAAAACTAGAACTTACCTCTGAATGTCTTAGTTCTCTTTTTTGGACAATTTTGGAAAAGTCTGTCTCTACCTGCCAGAACTTATCTGAACTGAATTCAGAAGGAGGCTGCATCCTTCAGGTGTCCCCTTCTACTTTTCTTCAGTCTTGTCTCTCCTGTGACAACCTGTTCTGTCCTGTGCCCCTCTATGTTCTTCTAATCAAATCTCCTACAAAAGATCCATGAATTATCTGGCATCTGCATGTTAGTGCGTCTGTATTTAAATCAGAAGGGGATTTCATTTGCACAGGATCAAATGGAGTGAAATGATTCGTTTTTGTAAAGGAGATTCCAGCCTCAGCAGGGGAGGTTCATTTAGTCCCCGCATGGACACCACCTCTGCCTGGAGTATTGAAGGCCCGGCTCATTTGATCTAGAGGGAATTGGTGTTGTCCTTTTTGTTTTTCTTCTTAGAAAGAAAACTCAGAAGCAAAAAAAAAAAAAAAAAAAAAAAAAAAAAGTCCCTTTAATTTCAGAGATGAATGCACAAGGGGGAGTCAGACACTACCTGGGAGCAAGAAACACTGTGTGGCTTAGGCTTACAGGATACTGAATGCTCAATTAGAACCATAGTTCTCAACCCTGGCGGGGGGTGGGTTATTGGGGTGGAGGTGGGGGGGTTGGGGTGTGGGGGGGTGGAGGCCTATGTCACTCTCTCTTTCCCCATCAAGGGGTGTATGTCAGGTTATCAAAACTATCTGCCTCTCCAATGGCAGGACCCAGTGAGTGAATCTGTGACTCCTTCCTGCTCTCTCTGGGAGCTACTTTTCTCAGAGGAGTGGGAGTGTCCCATATCCCTCAGATGTGTTGAGAGTGGAAGCAAGTTTGCAGAATAGTTCCACCCAATACAAAGGTGGCAGTGAATTTATTAAACAAAAACAAAAACAAAAACAAAAAACAAAGGTCTAGTAGTGACCCCTCAGGACCTCCTGTATTGTAGCAAGCTCAGGAAAGAGGTGTCTAGCTCCCGGAATTTGAGTAGCTTGAAAAATAGTTTTTTTAAAAAATGAGGTGTCTTCTGGGAAGCCCGTAGATTAAAATTATTTATGTTTAATAAAGAGGTCCATTTTGTTGCCATTTTTTTCTAGACATTTCTAGCCCTTTCCTTTACATCAGGTCTATTCCTCAAAACACTAATCATATGTCTTAACTTTGGGCAAAGGATGAACATTCTGAGTTAAAAAGAGCACATTGATGCTGCAGGTCATGCAGGAAAGATGTCCTCAAAGATGCATTGGGTTGTAAGAGGACAGGGTCAGATATAATTTCTCCCTCTTCTGTTTTTCTAGTTAACTTCACCTGGATTGTTAATTTTCTACTCTTGAAGGATAGGGGTTAGATAGCCTATAATGTATTTTTCCTTCCCAAGCAATCAAATGAGACTTTTCAATAGCAATCCATTTGTGGGTGGGATAGATAATTTCTCCTTGTGAGGAACTGTGCTGGTTATAAATGGCTAAAATTGATCTTCATGTGAAATAAATGAAATACAGCGAAGTATCCCACTTCCCTGGAAGTCTTTGCCTACTTTGCTGTGTTAACAAAGATATATTTTCTTTCAAGAGACTCTACCAAATGTAGCAATCACTAAAGCCAAGTGTTTTGCAAGTTATTTATTCCATACAATGGATTTTATTAACTGTAAACTATGAAGAGGTAAATCTGCCATATCCAAGCTCATCTAGTTAGATGGACAGATAAATGACCACAATCAATAAACTCAACAGGAGGTAAACATTTCATGTAAGACTTATTTAAGGGCAAATAGATAACAGAAAATTGAAAGATAGACTCCTTCAGTCATTCCTTTGGCTTTGTAGCAAGCTCTAATTTAACTATGAAAAGAGCTCATTTACTTTA